TTTTTATAGAGGCAGAAAAAGCTTTTGATAAGGCCCAACATTCATTTATGATAAGAACCTTACAGAAAATTGGAATAGATGGTCTTTACCTCAATATGATAAAGGCCATCTATGACAAACCAACAGCCAGTATCATACTAAATGGCCAAAAATTGAAGGCTTTTACTTTAAAATCAGGCACAAGACAAGGATGTCCCTTATCACCGCTCCCATTTAATATAGTACTGGAAATACTAGCCAGAGCAATTAGACAAGAGAGAGAAATAAAAGGCGTAAAGATAGGAAAAGAAGAAGTTAAATTATCATTATTTGCAGATGACATGATACTCTACATAGAAGACCCATAAAACTCTACTGAAAGACTCCTAGATATAATAAATAAATTCAGCAATGTAGCTGGATAAAAAATCAATACCCAAAAATCAACAGCATTTCTATACACTAACAACAAAATCACAGAGAGAGAAATAAGAGAAGCCACACCCTTCACTCTAGCAATCAAAAAAATGAAATATTTAGGAATTATTCTCATGAAAGAAGTGAAAGATCTATATAGGGAAAATTATAATACACTGAAAAAAGAATTTGAAGAGGATCTCAGAGAACAGAAAGACATCCCTTGCTCATGAATAGGAAGAATAAATACTGTGAAAATGGCCATTCTCCGAAAACTGTTATATATATCCAATGCAATCCCAATAAAAATACCAACAACATACCTCATAGATCTAGAGAAATCACTCCTAAAATTCATCTAGAACCAGAAGAGTCCTAGAATAGCAAAGTCAGTTCTCAGCAGCAAAGGCAAGGCAGGAGGCATCACAATCAATGACTTGAAGTTATACTACAAAGCAACAGTAGTAAAATCAACATGGTACTGGAATCAAAACAGAGCCGAAGATCAATGGAATATATTAGAAGATACAACCACAACTACAAACACACTCAACCACCTTATCTTTGATAAAGGGGCCAAACATGTTCACTGGAAGAAGGACAGTCTCTTTAATAAATGGTGTTGGAAAAACTGATTCTCCATATATTGAAAACTGAAACTAGACTTATGCCTGTCACCATGTACTAAATTAAAATCTAAATGGATCAAAGATCTGAATATTAAAACAGAAACACTAAATCTATTGGAAGACAAGTTGGGTAAAAGCCTTGAAGACATAGGTTCTTGATTCTTGAACAGGAATCAAACCGCGTGGGAAATACTTCTCGGAATCAATAACTGGGATCACCTCTTATTAAAAAGTTTCTGCATGTCAAAAGAAATCTCCAGCATAGTGAAAATAAAATCCACAAACTGGGAAACAATCTTAGTGAACTCTCCCTCAAAGGACTTCTGTCCAGAACATATAAAAATTTTTAAAAATCAGACCCCCAAAATTCAAAGATCCAATCCAAAAATGGGCATCTGAGATGAATACACAGTTCTCAGATGAAGAAATACAAATGGAAAATAAATACATGAAAAAAAGTTCAGTTTCATTGGTCATTAGGCAAATGCAAATTAAAACCACACTGAGATTCCATCTCACTCCTGAAAGAATGACCAGGATCAAGAAAACTACCAACAACAAATCCTGGAGAGGCTGTGGGGAAAAAGGAACTCTCCTGTACTCCTGGTGGGAATGTAGACTGGTGCAACTATTGTGGAGGTCAGTGTGGAGATTTCTCAGAAAGCTGGGATGGGAAGACCCATTTGACCCAGCTATTCCAGTTCTAGGCATATTCCCAGAAGAACTGAAAACATCATACCACAGTGATATATGTGCATCCATGTTTATAGCGGCACAATCTGTAATAGCCAGATCTTGGAAACAACCTAAGTGTCCATCAACTAAGGAATGGAAAAAAACAAGATATAGTATTTTTATACAATGGAGTACTACTCAGCTATAAAGAATGATCACATTGAGATATTTATAAACAAATGGACACATCTTGAGACCATACTCATAAGCGAAATAAATCAAATTCACATGTATAAATACCAAAAAGTTTCCCTAGTGTAAGAAATGGTAAAGAATACATAAAATTATGTGGTAATCATGATTCCCCATTATATTGCTTTAAAGCCTTATAATGTTTTCATTCATTAGGTGGAATGGTTTTTTTCTGGGTTGTTTGATTTTATTTTCTCTGATGGTATGAACAGCTATTTTGAAGAAAACAAGACATTATAATAGCTAGTGATGATTTAATATCATCTTGTTTTGAAATCCCACCAAGCTTTTGTTCTTCTGTCTCCATTGCTTTTATCATGTTGTATCTTATTGGATTTTATTACATGTGGTAGTATAAACAAAATTTTTATAGACAAGGAGATAATATAGAATTCATTGTTCGTTTTCTGTTAGTTGGTTCTGAATACCCTGTAATAGTTTCATTCTCTTGAATGGTTTTCCACTGTCTTTTTATGTTTGATGCTATAGTATATCAAGCTATACTCAAATATTTCAAGGAAAGAGACAGTATGGTAGCTACTGTTTTGTCGGATTGTCTTGTGGTGAAACACTATGTTGCTTAAATTGTTCTGTTCTGACGTGTGTTGTTATGTCCTCTTTTGTCTTAATCTTTTTTATATAAAAAAGTCAACACTCAAAAATCAATAACCTTCTTTTACTCACTAAGAGTAAAAACTCACTGAGAGAGAAATCAGGGAAACAACACCTTCATAATAGCATCCAAAAAAATGAAATACCTAGGAGCCAATCTAACAAATGATGTTTACATCCTCTAGATAAAATACTACAGTACTCTGAGAAAGGAAATTGAAGAGGATATTAGAAAATAGAGAGACATCACATGCTCTTGTGTAAGAAGACCCAATATAGTGAACATGGCCACACTTCCAAAACTGTTATACAGATTCAGTGGAATCCCAATCAAAATTCCAATAGCCTATCTCACAGAACTAGAGAAAACCACCCTAGAATTCATCTGGAAGCAGGAGATACCTAGCATAGCAAAGGTAGTCCTGGGCAACAAAGACACAGTGCCTGACTCAAAATTACACAATAAAGACACTGTGATAAAACCAGTGAGGTACTGGCAAAAACAAACAAAAACAAAAGCAGACCCAAAGATCAGTGGAATAGATTGAAGAGGCAGAAACAACTCAGACACTCTACACATGCTGAAGATTAAAACTGAACTGTATCATTCACCAGGTACTAAACCAAATCAAAACGGATCAAATATCTTAATATTAAAACAGAAACATTAAATCTGCTGGAAGATAAAATAGGTAAAACTCTTGAGGACATCGGTGTAGGCAAAGACTTTATGAACAAAACCCTCATTGCACAGGAACTGTTGTAAAGAATCAAATGGGATCTCACCCTACTGAAAAGCTTTTGCACAACAATAGAAACCATCAAGAGAGCGAAGAGACCGCCCACAATGTGGGAGAAATGTTTGCCAGCTGTTCCACAGACAAAGGATTATTACCAAGAACATATAAAGAACTCAAAAATCAGTTTCCCAGATTTAAAGACTCATTCCAAAAATGGGCATCTGAGATGAATACACAGTTCTCAGATTAAGAAATACAAACTGCAGGTAAATACATTAAAAAATATTCCATATCATGGGTCATTTGAGAAATGCAAATTAAAACAACACTGAAGTTCCACTTCACCCCAAAAAGAATGGCTAGTATCAAGAAATCAACCAATAACAAATGCTGGAGGGGCTGTGGGGAAAAAGGAACTCTTCTCCACTGTTGGTGGGAATGCAGACTGGATTCCTCAAAAAACTAGGATTGGAGGTCCCAATCAACCCAGCTATCCCCCCTTCTGGGTATCTTCCCAAAAGAATTAAAAACTTCATACCATAATGATATATGTGCACCCATGTTTATAGCAGTACAGTTTATAATAGCCAGATCTTGGAAACAACCTAAATGCCCATTGACTGAGGGATGGATGAAAAAGATGTGGTGTTTTTGTACAACAGAGTACTACTCAGCTATAAATAATGATAAACGGGACACTTTTATAGGTAAATGGATGCAACCTGAGATCATACTCATTAGTGAAATAAATAAGACACACGTATAAATATCATATTGTTTCATTAGTGTGAGAAGCTGAAAGATAAAACATATGTATATATATTTAAAAATAGTTAAGATAGGTCTACTAGTGATTTCTCTGAGTTTGATGAAGAGAAAGATTTGTGCTGTTATTGTTTGGACAATTGAATTCCGATAATCTTGTGCTCTGGGTGAATGATATGTACCATGGTTACCCCTGATTGATGTACGTTAAACTTTTGTTGCAGGTTTTTTTGCTCTTCTTTTTCTCCTTTCTTTTTATCAATGAATAAAGTGGATTTGAAAATAAAAGAGCATAGAGAAAAAAATGTCATTACACTTAGCTGCTTGTCCCCTTGCCATTTCATGCCTTGTTTAATTATTTTTCATCATGCACAAGAACTTGGAAATCTGTCTCCAGACTCCACCACCCATGATAACAGTCCGAATCTTAACCTCCAATAACATTCAACATCCAGACAGTTTTAGGAAGGGTAGAATCTACTGTAATCCCCCATTTTACAGACAAGGAAAGTGAGGTTAGGAAGACCAACAGCCTGCCTGATGGCTCACACGGCTTAGTAATAAACCTAGGATTTACAACCAGTATAATTATCTTTCCAAAGGTGCAGGCTGGATCCTAGCACTGTTTTCCTGCCTTTCCCACCCCATAATTGAAGTCACCAGGCTTATGTTCAGAGGATCGTAAATTTATAAGATCATGGTCCTGTGAGTTTACAGCCTGGGCTCACAGGAAGACCCCTCAGCCTTGCTCATACATTTGGGGTCATCCCAAGAGACTTTAAAAACACCGACAGAAAGAAAGATAAACAAATAAAATACTGCTCAACAATTCACATGAAATTGTGAGTCATGAAATCATGTAACTACATCTAAAAAACACATTGGGCGGAGTGCTTGAAACCTACCATTGAGAGGAAATGCTAAAAATAACACAGCTAACTTTTTAAAGCGGATCAGCGACTTGCAGAGAGGGAACTCACTGCAAACAGACCGATCTGTCCAACCATCTCCAAAAGGACAAAGGTACTGGCGCAAGCCTCTGGGGGATCTGAGATCTGTCTTCGAAAAGCAACAGGCCAGTGTCCCTGAAAGAAGCACAGAATGACGTTTCTGGGTTCTCAGACACCCTGGCCCTGCTCAAAGACAAAATATCTACCCCTTCCCTATTTTGTCTCCTTATTTAGGAAGACCCAGAACCTGGATGATTTACGTTCTACTTCATTTCCGTGAGTTTTTTCCTTTTCTCTCTCTTTTTCTTTTTACGGGAAATTGAACTCAGGATCTCACACTTGACAGGCAGGTGCTGTGCCACTGAGCTATATCTTCGGCCTTACACTGTATTTTGGAATAATCTTGTCAGTCCGATTTCCTGTGCAGTACTGATTACCATTTACAAGGTTGTAGCTGCTTCTCCAAGATTTAAAAAAAATGTGACTCATGTTTAAATAACGCATTGCTTCTCTGGTGTGGAAAACAAAATATACAAAGAAGCCTTATAAATACAATGTGCAGACTCCAGCACTTATATCCTGTGAGAGCCACGCTTAGCCTCCCGAGCTGGACTGGCTGTCTTCACGCATAATCGGCCGTCCCTGGCAGCGCGTCTCTTTTTCCCGAAGAGCACAAAGAGTGAGAACTTTTCACTGCCATCTCTCTTCTGTCGCCTTTGCAGGGCTATCATTGTCCATGACTCTGCCAGAACTTTTTATTTAAACAGTACCACAGTCTTGCATCATTTTTGGTATGACTGATGTCCTACAGTAGGACAGCAATGGAGGTGCGAGGCTTCTGGGGGGAAAAGAGGTGGCTCAGGCTGCGGGAGTTTTCGGGGAGCAGGTTCACAGGCAAGGCTGCTCTTTTAATCAGGTGAAGTTTCTCGGGGAACAGCCACTGAGGTCACCTCTTTCTGAGCTAAGCTCCCGATTTCTTCTTCCTTCAGAAGGAAAGAGCCAGGCAGAAAGGTGGATGGAGGTGGATATCAAAAACATCTTCTCTGTTTTATTGTTGTAGACAACTATAAATTTCTTTTCATAAAAGAACAGTTTGGAACTGGGTGTGATGGCATATACCTGTCATCCCAGCACTCTGGAGGCTGAGACAGAAGGATGCTGTGAATTCAAGGCCAGCCAGAACTACTATGTCTCAAACTAGCAAACAACAAAAAGAAACATGGCTTTTCCAAGCCATTCCTGCACCAGGTAGTGTGGATCCTTGCGCTTTAGTGGTAACAGAAATTAAAACAAAAGGATCAGGGCTGTGAGTTTGATCCCTAATACAAAACAAAAAGAAAAGAAAAAGAAAGAAAGGAAATTAAAATAAAAGTGACAGGGGCTGGGGATTTAGCTCAGCGGCATAAGCGCCTGCCTTGCAAGCAGGCAGTCGTGAGTTCGATCCCTGGTACCGATAAAAACGAAAAAGACCAGAAAAAAAAAAAAGTGACAGAATAAATTTATAGTCATAAGGTTTAAGTGGAAAATAAGGGAAGAAACACAGAGAGGACCCCAGCCAGCTTCAGTAACTAGAAGAGGCACGGCTCATGAGGAGGATCACCCTGGCCTGTTTGCAAAAGAATGGAGGCCAATTTTGGGGGATCCTGGGATGCTGAACCCATTTTCATAGCTCAGGTTGGATCCTCAGGACTAGAGGGGCAACTCAGGTCCCATGGGGGGGATCCTTGGGACCTGGGGAGCCTTAGTCACGGGGGGCTCTGCTGGAACCCAAGGTACAGGGCAATGGAGACTCGGGAGTGTAGGCACTGCCAGCCTTGAGATAAGGGCGGTGAGATAAGCTAGGAAAGTTGAGGACTGACCAACAGACAGACACTCCCGGAATGACTAACAGGCTGGTAGGCAGGGCCAAGAAGCATTCCAACAGTTTCAGGGAATGAGGGCCAAGTTTTACTCTGCTTTTAGTTACTAGTGGACACCTGCAGGCCCAAGTGAAGAGTCGATTTCTAGCAAAAAGCACCTTTAAATTCCTATGAGAAGAGAACGCAGATCATGCTCTTAGTAAGTCACAGGTTACCGGCCTGGGAATTGCTCCACTGTGTCTGTAGTGGTCTCTTCTGGGTCAGGACTAAGTCAGTTTCTCTGAATAACCAATCAAAACACCACCACCACCACACACACACACACACTCACACACAAAGTACATTTGATGTTTCATGCTTCCACTGCGCTGCTATTGAATTTTCCAAGCGTTGCAGGGACAGTCACATGCTGAGACTTTTGTGTGCATCTGATGGGGGGAAGGCAGTCCCCAGGAAGGACCCCTGGGTGCTCTCTGGCAGGGAACAAAAGGAAGTCGCCTCTGGGCTCCTCAAGATGACCCAAAACAGAACCAACACTCCCAGGGAGCAGATGCTCCCAGGCCCACGGCAGGTCCTAGAGTGACTGTAGGCGGGACTGTAATGCTTCGGCTCCACCCTGGGGCAGCACCCCAGATGCACGCAGCTGGGCTGAGGACACCTCAGGAAACAGCCAGCCACTCCAGCACTGGGTTCTTCAAAGTCGGGGGCAGGAACACCCCTTGCACAACTTCTGCTTTCCAAACCCGTGGGAGGAAAAGCCAGCGTGGTCCCTGCAGCCTGCGGAGCAGCCACAAGGCCACCGCGGTACACCTGCATGCGTTCTCCTCAGCTTCCTCCAGCCGGATTCCACCACAGTGGCTCCCCAAAGATGGTTCTGATCATCTCTGGTTGCGGTGCACTCCGCTTCCAATTGAATCTGGGATGAGGGTCCCAGTGAATGACACCCCTTCTCCCTGACCTAAAGGCAGAACCAACTGGTAGAGGGACAGATACACAGAAGGAACTTGGATCAGCATGTCAGAAGCGTCATGCTGGATGACATGCAAAAGGCCAGCGACCTGGGCAGTTAAAGAGTTTACCAGCAGGTAACTAATAGAGGAAAGACAAGAGTCTTATTTAGGCCACTGAGTGCACCATCACGAGGGACACGGGCAAATTTCCAAGAGAGGAATCACACATCAGGACAGGAGATGAGGGGTTTATTAAGGATGAAGAAAGAGTCCAAGTCCTCAGACCTACAAATGCATTTTCCCTGCTCTCTGATCATCTTCTAGGAACCCCTGGCTGCTGACTGAAGTTGTACATCAAAGCTGAAAACCATCAAGGCCTCTCTTGGAGACCTCAGAAAGCCTCTTCAGATTTAGAGGAGTGTCTCTGCATGTTTTAACCTTTTTGGAAAAGATGCAGCATTGGCTCAGGGGAGGAAAGGATGGTGTCTTTTGTCTTGTGCTGTTTTGAGTCCTCATTAGTGCCGTGCTTCACGACTGCCCAGGACACGCTGGGCAGAGACGTATGCTGTCAGCAAAGTTGAAGGACTGGGAATTCTAACCCTTTTGCCACGGATTGTCATAAAACAATAAGCAGTACAAGCAAACGTGAAGTGGTATCACCACCTCTGCCTCCTGTCGCCTGACTGAAAGCATCTGCCTGTGACAGATTCAGACTACCTATGGCCTACATCACCCAGAAATGTAGTGCTGTGTCCGGTAGCAGTCCAAACCAATGTGCTGCTCAGCTCGGCAAAGGTGCTGGGGATCAGGGTTCTAATGTCTTGTTTCCAGCCATATCTATGGTGTTGTGCTTGTCTCCAGAGTCCAAGAGAGTTCCTCACTGAAAGGATTTTGCCCTAAATGAGATGCTGTAGTGGTGGGAGGAGCTGGGAGGTGAAAGGTCAGCTTCCCCACCCCTAAGCAATTCACCTGTGGTGTGAAATGAATTCCAATGGGCTACCTGTGCATCAGTAATGCCCCTTAGGCTCCACCCCAAACCTAAGCTATGTGTATGCCCCCACACCACGTGACTGGCAGAGAGAATACCAGACTTCAGTGATCAGGGGGTTCTCTCTCTGTATTCTTAAAATAAAGGCCACTTTACTTTATATTCTGTCTTCTAACCACGCCGAAAGCTCTTTCATAATGGTTCCCTGACCAGGAACAGCAGGCGAGTGACTCCTGGGTCCCTCCCAGTCTGAGTCCCCTGCCGGTTCATGGACTCAACACGTGGGAGCTGCTCACTTGTCACTGCTGGTTTGCAAACACCATCAGTCTAATTCATTTACCACAGGTGAGCTAATTCTGCCCGAAGATTACTCCATGCTAGTGGGCCGGCCCGATGCCAGATTTTCTTTCCCTTCCCTGCACTGGGGTAGCGCTCTTGCGTCCCTTGGGCAGAGCCGCTACTGTAATTCACAGGAACTCCACTCATGCCTTTTTGGTGACAATCAAAAAACATGAATTTTGGAACCGATTACCGTCGGTCTAAGAGGCCAGGTGACAGCCTGACCTGCCTCAGGCCACGGTCAGTTGGCTCACTTTACGGTGATTTGGTCATGGGGACTACTTCCTGTCCCCCAAAAAAACATACCGATGTGGTGCCTGGTTCAAAAAGCAACCTAGAACCAAAAAAAGCTGAACTTTTATTTATGGCTCATCACATTGGCGACAAGTTTGCAAAAACTCTCCATCTTTAGGCCTTTAAGACTGTGTCCCTCTCTCCCTCTGCTCCTCCAGGATCCCTCCCCCACCCCACACTTAGGGGGTGGCTTCTTTCTTTCCAGCTTTTCCCCTGTATCTCACACTCCAAACCCGGCAGCTTTCTCAGTGCATCCTTCAGTCCCCGATTCACCCATTTCTCAATCCCTCCCCGCACCGTGTGCCAACCCACCTTCCCAGGTGCACACCAGGATGGGGGAGGAGCACACGGACAGCGCTGGGCTGCACGCAGGCGGGGCCTGCACCGTGTTCACCAACCGGCCTGGCCTGCACCTGCCGTGGCCCCCCAGCAGGCTCCACACCTCACCTCCCGAGCAGTCCCAGCCCCAGCCCCCACCTTCGAGCTCAGAGTGGCTCTGGGCGGTGCTCGGAGGAGGAGACAACGGGATGCGGCAGGAGGAGACAACGGGATGCGGCAGGAGGAAAAGGGGCCAATTCAAGAGATCTCTATTAATTAATCTACAAAAGGCTTCACACCAGCCTTATTTATTATAGTTCAAATTGGCCAAATATATTTGAGTGCACTCTGACTTTATAAGATATATCTGTTGTTTGTTCAGTCCGTTTATACTGTACAGATCCTCTGTCCATGTCTGTCCATTTGCCTGGTTGGTAAACAGCTGTTCAAGTTTTTACTTGACATCAACAATTTTTTCCTTTTTTACATTCTCAAACCATTTAATCAAGGTTTATTTGGTTACAGAGTAAAAAACGTGCTTCCACCTAGTTTGCCAGCTGGTCAAAATGGTGCTAAAACTGGTTAAACAAAATCTCTTGGGGTGAGGAGACATTGGACAAGACTTCATTGATGAATGGGGAAAGTGGCCGCCTGGTAATTTTACCATCCTTGTTTATTGATTGAGGCCTCCAATAGTCTCCATAGCTTATGGGAGACACCTCAACTGAAGTTCATATGACTAAGACAATTCAGTGGTGCTGATCTGATGGTATATTCATGCTTTCAAATATAAAATTGGGATTGTTTCTGCTGCCTTTTTCTTGTGTTTCAGACAAAAGATACAAATCAGACCAACATTAGGAAACCAGTCAAATAATTTTTAAACAAAAATTTATATAATATATGATGACAAGTATTTTGTTTCAGATCCAGACATATGCTTAGAGATGCTTCACAAATTTCTTCAGTGTTCAAATGTTAAAACACTCATGGTTAATAGCCATTTAAGGTTCTATGTTAAGCTTACTGCCTGTACTGCACTGTACTATTATCAAGCTTCTGGACGTTCAACAACTGAAATTAAGAGATAATTATAAATTCCTTTTGGATTCCTTTTGCTGGGATCCACCAGATTTTTTCCAGAAAGGTTATATGATGCATGCAAAACAGCAAGACCAACACTGGGGCAGAGGCCAGGCTTGAGCCTTTCCCAGCCTGTGCGCCTGCCCTGGCTCTGCCCTCTGCTGAGCCATACTTAACTATACTCAACTGGCGTTAAATGACACCGTAGCTGATCGCTCTCCTAAATAAAAAGGTAAAGGTAATAAAACAGGCCATCCTCCAAAAGTCAGATGGCAATAGCATTTTAACAGCATACTTATATATGACAACAAATGACATGTCAGTTCCTAAAATTCCCTGGACCTTATCCTCCTAATGGGAAGCCATTACTGAAGTTATGATCATAAATACCCTGTTGATTGTATTATCTGACTTCTGAATACTTAATTGACTCTACAGATACCTTCCACCATGGGCCAGATCCCAAGACAAAAGGCTAAACTTGGCCCTCAAACCCCACAGGGAGACCTTCTTAATATGGCTTTTTGTGTTTTCAACAACAGAGATAAAAAATAACAATCTGATCTTTTAGCAGTGACACTTGGAGCTCTGAGACAGATAAACTGATACAACGTGGAGCTGCCTGAGCCCCTCCTGGACCATGCTTCAAATGCAGCAGAAGGACATTGGGCAGGAGAGTGCCTCATCCTGGTGTTGCTTTGGGGCCTTGCCCCAGGGCTACTGGACTGTCCTAGCCACCAGAGAGTGGGTAAGCCATCTAACTTCTAGCCCTCACAGGAAATGCCAACACTGCCAGATTCATTACTGACAGATCTGCTTGGATTTGCTGTTGAAGACTGACAGGGCTCAGGGCCAACAACAGCCCCCATTAAGGTGTCCTTCTCAGAACCCCAAGTCCCACTAGAGGTCTCAGGTAAGACATTCTCTATACTTGTGGACATAGAGGCCATGTGTAGGGTTCTTCCTGAGTTTTCAGGCTACTATATTAAGTTCTCAATCTCTATAGGGGTATTGACAGCTAACCTATACAGCCTTTACAGACAGGGCCTATTTCATGCAGGTTCTAGACTGCTTCTTCATGGCTTCCAAACATTTACAGGGACTTCAACCTATAACTAAGCACCTTTTAGACAATGGTTTTCTTAAACCTACCCATTTACCCAATAATACTCCTATTCTCCTGGTATTCAAGCCTGATGGGTCTTACCCTCTAGTACAAGATCCTAAGATACTCAGTAGTGCTGTTACCCCAATCCACCCAGTGGTGCCAAACCCTTATACCATGCTCTCATATCCCTCCCTCCACCACTCACTTTACAGTCCTAGATCTTAAGAATGCCTTTCTATTCCTTTGTGTTTATGCAGACTGATCCAGACACTGACATCTCAACAGCTTACACCTGTTATCTCTAGTAAACCCTCTCTCCAGGGGTACATAACACCCCCTTCCTTTCCTATTCATCAGTTTCTCAGACACAACCCTGGTCAAGACTGACAGATAAATTTGACACACATGCCTTACCACAAAACTCTCAAATATTTTCTTACCTTTGCTTATACCTTTTCAGGATAATAAAAGCCTTTCCCACAACCAGAGAGACTGCTGATATACTTACTAAAGTCCTGTTACAGCAAACCATCGCAAGGACTACAACCAAGGTGGAGCGGCCCATACTTGATCTTCTCAGCAACCTCAACAGTGGTCAAAGTTGCTAGACTGCCATCCTGGTTCACATCACTCAAGTGGTGCCCTCCCAACCCTAAATCTAACCGTCCTTTTGCCCACGCATCTCCCCCTCATCAAGGCCTCACAGCCACAACTCTCAGGCTAAGTCATGTTTTATTATCCAATTCAGTTCCTAATTTCTTACATTCTATTAATTATCCTTTTTACAGCAAGACTCTCAACAGTCTTTCCTAAAGACCCCCACATCATGCATAAGATCATCTTCATGTTGTTCTATGTGACAACTGTTTAGTTCTGTCTACCCTCAGCTGTTTGGTCTAATGTGACATCCCTGAAGGCCTAGGCTCTTACCTTCCCTATAGTGACACAGCCATGGCCATCTCCACCCCTCCTATTCTTTCCAGCTCAACTCCTGGACCAGAGACAAGCCCTACATACCTACACTTTTAACTTTTATCTTTTCAGATGGAGGAATAATCACCTCTCATAACTTCACTCCTCCTAACCCCACACTTATTTTTCAGAATTCTACCTCACCATTGCAATGATTCTACCTCAACATGGTCCTGATAAAATGACATATCTAAATCAAAGGCACCTTTCCTCCTCCTGGGTCATTAAATATGATAGTGGCCTGCCTTCTCATAACACCTTGTCTCTTTGTTTTTCTAGTCTAACATGTGGGCATTCACCAGTGATAAAGTTGTCTTGGTTAAAACACCTGGCACCAGCTTCTACATGGACATCAACTATCATCCTGTCGACCTTCCTAAACCCCAGGACAGCGCCCCCTTCCAGCAGGAAGTAGTAGAAGAAAGAAAAACTCTGCCCTTTTTCCTAATAATATAAAAATGGGAATGAAAGGATTTTGCCCTAAATGAGATGCTGTAGCAGTGGGAGGCGCTGGGAGGCAAAAAGTCATCTTCCCTGCCCCTAAGCAATTTTTTTTTGTCTTTTTGAGACAGGATCTCACTATGCAGTTCAGGCTGGCCTTGAGCTCACTTTGTAGCCCAGGCTGGTCTTGAACTCGCAACGATCCTCCTGCCTCAGCCTCCCGAGTGCTGGGATTACAGACGTGAGCCACACGCCTGGAAACCCCTAAGAAATTTATCTGTGGCACAAAATGAATTACAATGGGCTACCTGTGCATCAGTAATGCCCCTTAGGCTCCCCCAAACCTAAGCTATGTGTATGCCCCCACTCCACATGTCTGGCAGAGAGAATGCCAGACATCAGTGGTCGGGGTGTTCTCTCTCTGTATTCTTAAAATAAAGGCCACTTTACTTTACATTCTGTCTTCTAACCGCGCCAAAACCTCTTTCACTTACTATGTCCGTACTCCCGCCTGAAGGAGGAGAAAACACGAAAAGGAGGTCTTCCTTCAAGGGCTTGTTCCAGAAACACAAATCTCTTCTGCTCATATGCCGTTAACCACAGCCTGGTCACGTGCCCATGTCTGCTGCAAGGAATGCTGATTAATACAGTCTCCATCTTGGATCACCTCATTCCCAGTGTAAACTTCCACAAGCATGAAAGAGAGGTTTGTAGTTTCGGGAAGCACCACTAGCTTCTTCTAGATTGTATGAATTTACTCCGGCATTGCTTTTACTGGGAGGGCAGGTCCTTTATCATGCAGTAGGAGGAGGCAGGGGAAAGTGTACTCTCAAAACCAGGGAGGGACAGATCGGAACCAAGCAAGCTATTTTAACTCACAAACATACCAACTGCTTAAGGCGTGTGAGGGTCCCCCAGCTCTGGGTTCCTCACTGGGCCACCGATGGCACTGTAGGTGAACAGGTCTGTCTTCTATGGGACCGTCCTCCCATGACTACAGCATGTATTGGTGAGCCCAATACATGTCAATACCGTTTGTCCACAGGCTGCGTGATGCCGGATTGGGGCAGATGCTTCCAAAACTGGAAAGGGGCAGAAATGGTTTCGATTGGGAGTGACGGGGGTGTCCTTCCATGGAAAGTTGAGAAATCTGGGTTAAGGCCTCCTCTAGTGTCTAGCAGGGCCCTACAGTTCATCCTTATCAAATACTGGTGATTGTCCCTGTGTAAGCTTTTCATCCTGTGGCCAAACCCCTGGAGGAGAGGTTCGTTTTGACTCAAGATTTCAGAAGCATCAGTCCCTAGGCAGCCAGCTCCACCACCCTAGGCCTTCAGGAGGGCGGAACCATCATGGTAAAGCAAACCTGCTCACCTCCTGGCAGGGGGAAGTAGACAATGTAAAAGGACAGAGAGGAAAGGCTGGGAACAACTTAGAGCCTTCAAAGATACGGCCTTGGTGGTCCCCTTGCTCCAACTGGGCACTGAAGATTTTTAGCACGAAAAAAAGCGAGAATATAAAGTAAAAATAGCCTTTATTCTAAGGCCGTGGAGAGGAGTCCAGGACCATAGACAGTGTAGTAACCTGTCCAGAAGGTGGGGCATGGGATTACATATAACCTCTGACCTGGGTGGCCCTTAGGGCGGGCATTGATGATGTGTGAAGAGCTGATTGGAACTTTCTGTGCATGCAAACAGGAAGGGGAGGTGCAATTAAGGCTGAAGAAGAAGCAAGAAGTGGAAGGCATTTCCATGGCCTTCTGCCACGTCAGACCACTGCCATCACCATACAGTTTATTCTAGGGAAGAACCTTTCAGGCTCCACCTCCTAACATAATCTGGTCACCTCTGAACACTGCTCTCTTGGGGATCAAGCCTTCAATACAAGAGTACCTGGGGGCACTTCCCATTTAAACCGCAATGGTCCTGTTCTTAATAAAGTGATGTTTTACTGGCCACCATCATGCCGTACACACACACACACACACACACACACACACACACACACACACACAGTGTGTACACAAAAGAGGAGAAGAAATGGCTGATTCTGCAGGGCCTGAAGAGTCAGAACAAGATCTAAACTTGAGTATCAGGAGGTTTATTGAGTGACTATGGGAGAAAGAGAGGGAGGCTGGTTTGGGATGGACATAAGTGCACGGGTTAGGGCAAGGCCTGAAGTGTGTTCAGAACTAGTGGGTGAGCCAGGCACAGTGGTCCAGTCCTGTGATCCCAGCCTTCTGGGTGGATAAGGCAGGAGGATTGCAAGTCATGCCCTGCCTGGGCAACCTAGGAAGACTCTGTCCCAAAATTTTTAAAACTGTAAGAAATTGGGCTGGGAATGGATAAAATTCTGGGCTTGATTCCCAGCACTGAAAAAAAAAAAAAGAGAAAACAAACAAAACCACTAGGAGGTGAAGTTTAACTAGACAAAGCTGAGCCAGAAACTATCTAAGTTTTGGCAGGGAGCAGCAAAAGTCCCTGATAGCCATGAAACTGGAAGGTGATCAGAGAGAAACTGTGCGGATTTCTCCGTGAACGGTGGAGCCCCAAATTCCTGATGACTTCATTTCAAGGGAATAGCATGCAAGGGCGGGGAGGCGGGGAGCTCAGTGGTAGTGCTTGAAAGGGTTTTGGCCCAGACAGGACACTGTAGCCAGGAAAGCCACAACCGGAAGCAGGAAGCCCCATCTCCCCTGCCCCTAGGAAGTTACCTGTGACGCCATCTTCCCGCCCCTGGAAATTTACATATGGCACCAAACCTAGGACCAATGGGCTACCTGTGTATCCCTAATGCCCGCCTTAGGCTCCACCCCAAACCGAGGCTATTTACAGGCCCCCACGCCACGTGTCTGCCGGAGAGATCACCGGACGCCAGCGGTGGGGGTGCTGGTCATCTCTCTCCATGTTCTCAGAATAAAGGCCACTTTTTATTTTATATTTCTCATCTTTTATTAATATTTTTCATCTTTTGGAAATAATCCTAGCATTTGGTGCCATGACTCGGATCTGCAGGCGATTGACTCCTGGGACACACACCCAGTTGAGTCCCCTAGCCGATAACCAGATAACATCCTGGATTAATCCCGAGCTTTTTCTTCACCCGAGACGTCCCTGTCGAGAGCCGCCTGCACTCAGCAGGCCAGATTGATTTCAGGTGAGCACTCCCCGGGGAACTTTTGGCACTGGGCAGCCCCAGTGGAATGTTCTCCCCGTCTGCGTGGGTCTGTGCATTTTCATGTCCTTAGGACCGCCCAGGGCAGGGTTCTTTCTGGGCAAACCTGTGTCCACAAAATCTCTCACGTTCTTTGGGTTCGGATAGCCCAGAGCAGAGATTTTTGGGACTGCCCACACTGAAAGAATGCCTCACTTCCCTTAAAGCCTTGCACTTTCACGGGCAAAACTGTTACTGACCCCACGCAGGCTCCACTCGTAAATCTCTCAGTGACGACTGGAATTTACGAGTTTTTGGAACCGTAGCCACCACATGGTGCCACAAATAAGTGATGACTTGTTCTGGACCTCTGGTTTTTTTCTTGCCTGAATCAGTCATGGGGAACGTATTTTCTAACTCCCAAAAGACACCTTTACAATGCCTAATTTCCAATTTACGTACTCTAAAAATTAAAGGTACCATAAAAACTAAACAACTAACTTTTTACTGCCAGGAGTTCTGGCCAACCTACCCGCTTATCGGCAAGCCTTGGCCCAAACAAGGAACATTTGACCCCTGCATTCTCAGGAGCTTGTATGATTTTTGTCAAGCTGACAACAAGTTATTAGAACTCCCTTATATTCAAGCCTTTCTTATTCTGAGAACATGCCTATCTCTCATTAAGTCTTGTGCTCCCGCTCAGATACTTTTAGCTAAGTCTACTGTGCTGCAAACTTTTCCGTCCTGCCCTCCGGTGTTTTCCCGGCCGCCGCCTGCCTACCACCAAACTCATTCCCTGCCTTTACCTCCTGCCGGACTGCTCTCCCCTCCCCCTAGGCCTGATTCTCTCAGCAGCTCTAATCCCTCTCGGTTGCAGAAACCTCCCGCTGTGCGATCATCTCCCTCTCCACCTTACAGGACCCATAACTCTCCCAGCAGCTCTAATCCCTCTGTGTCGCAGTTATCTCTCGCTGTTCGATCCTCTTCCCCTCCATCTCCTGGGACCCATAACTCTCCCAGCGGCTCTGATTGCTTTGTTAGTGCTTCCTCGCCATCTGTGACTTCTTCTTCTCCTGAGAATTTTCTATCCCCTACAGCATTCTCACCACCCGCCCACCATACTAGGTCTCAGTCGCTATGTCCTTCCAGCAGGCCATGTGATTGTTCCAGCTTGCACCGGGAACAGTCGCCATGTTGCAACCCTCTGCCACGTGGCATGGCGCCGCCATGTTTTGGGTCACATGGCGACAGGGCGCCACCATGTTCCCAGGACCCTCACTGTCAACGGGCATCCCCTTGTGGCTCCTCTTGTGAACTGCAACAGCCGTCCTGTTGCGGTGCACATGATGCTTCATTGTGCTGCCGACAGCAGTCCTCTTGCTGCAAGGCACACAGTGAGACACCATCTGCCTGTGTTTCCCAGGGTGACCAGCAGCAGCTCTGTAGCCGCTCTACAGATGATTGCTCACATGTGCCTACTTGACGGATGGCTGCCCAATGGCCCTCTGCTCCGGAATCTCCTCAGGCTCTGCTACCGCTGCAGGAGCAAGCTGGCCCCGAGGGGCTTGTTAACATCCATGTGCCTTTTTCCCTTTCTGATCTATCCCAGATTACCCATAAATTAGGTAGCTTTTCTGTTGACCCACAGAATTATATCTGGCAATTTAAATTTATTACTAATTGTTATGATTTACATTTTAAGGACATTTATGTGATTCTAAATACCACTCTCAGATCAGAAGAACAAAATCAGCTGTGGCAGGCAGCTCGAGAAGAGGCTGATCGCAGGCACAGAGCAAATACTACTGACAATGACCCTGGGCCTGTAGCTATGCCAGACCAAGACCCTAACTGGAACTATCAAAATGGTCAAGGTTCAACAAAATTACATAAGATGATTGAGTGTCTGATTGTGGGCCTTAATAAGATCACTCACAAACACACTAATTATAACAAGCTTTTAGAACAGGTCCAGGAGGCTAATGAAAACCCAACTGTGTTTCTAAATCAGCTTCGGGAAACCTTAATTAAATATACCAATGTAAACCCAGACTCTCACGAAGGGATGATTGTTGTTAACTCTTATTTTATTTCACAGTCTGCTCCTGATATTCGTGCAAAATTACAAAAGGTTGAACATGGCCCTCAAACTCCACAAGGGGATCTACTTAAATTAGCCTTCCGTGTCTTCAGCAATAGAGATAAGGTTCAAAAGGAGGAAAAACAGGCTCAAAAATTAAAGTTTGCTAAATATCAGTCTGACCTCTTAGCAGTGGCACTCGGAGTTCCCAAGACAAAAAAATCCGCAACAAGGTGTGGCTGCCTGAGTCCCGCCCGGACCGTGCTTCAAGTGCAGCAAGCAAGGACACTGGGCAAAAGATTGCCCTAACCCTGGCATTCCTCTAGGACCATGTCCATACTGCAACCTTAAAGGGCATTGGAAGAGCGACTGTCCTGGCCGCCAACGAGCGGGTAAGCCATCCTCTAATCCCTCGCCCTCACAGGAGACTCTGTCAATGCCAGACTCGTCGCTGACTGACCTGCTTGGGCTTGCTGCAGAAGATTGACGGGGCTCGGGGCTCACAGCCCCCACTCCGGTAACCTTGTCGGAGCCCCGAGTCTCACTGGAGGTCTCAGGTAAGATAATATCTCTACTTGTGGATATGGGGGCAACTTATAATATACTTCCTGAATTCTCAGGACCTTGTAGTAAATCCTTGATTTCTGTTGTGGGCGTTGATGGCCAGCCAAATCAACCTTTGCAGACTGGGCCTATCCCGTGTAGATTCCAGACTCTTTTTTTTATCCATAGCTTCCTAATAATCCCAACATGTCCCACACCTTTAGGTAGAGACCTTCTTCAAAAGCTTAATTTTTCCTTCACTTTCTCTCTCCCCACAGCCCTAATTCTCCAAACAGCCTCACAATGCGTCGCAAAGCCATTCCCTCCCCTTCCTCCTTCTCTGGTTGACCCCATAGTTTGGGATACATCCAATCCCACTCTGGCTACACATGCCACTCCTGTTTTGATCTGTCTCAGGGATTCCTCAACTTTTCCTTGTGTTCCCCAATACCCCATAGCCCCCCAACATTTAAGGGGACTTAAACCCATAATTAAGCAGCTTTTAGACAATGGTTTTCTTAAACCTACCCATTCACCCACCCCACAATACTCCCATTCTCCCGGTACTCAAGCCTGATGGGTCTTATCGCCTGGTACAGGACCTTAGGGTGATTAACAGTGCCGTTACCCCCACTCACCCAGTGGTGCCAAATCCCTATACCATGCTCTCTCATATCCCTCCCTCCACCACTCACTTTACAGTTATAGATCTGAAAGATGCCTTCTTCACTATTGCCCTACACCCTGATTGCCAGAACCTCTTTGCGTTTACATGGACTGACCCAGACACTCTCAGGTCCCAACAACTTACTTGGACAGTGCTCCCCCAGGGGTTCAGGGATAGTCCCCACTTCTTTAGCCAGGCTCTCACTACTGACCTCACAGAACTTAATCTCAAACCTAGTGTTCTCCTTCAATATACAGATGACCTTCTATTATGTTCTCCATCCCATGTGTTAGCCATGCACCACTCGGCTAGTCTTCTTAATTTCCTTGCTAGTTGTGGATACAGGGTCTCTCCTGCTAAAGCTCAGATAGCCTCCCCAAAAGTCAAATACCTAGGTCTTGCTCTCACCCCCACTACTTGCTCCCTCACCTCAGATCGTAAGGCAATCCTTCGTGATCTCCAGGTGCCCACAACTAAACAGCAGGTTACATCTTTCCTAGGTTTAGCTAATTTCTTTCGTCTCTGGATTCCTAACTTTGCAGCCCTAGCTCAACCCCTCTACAAGGCCACTAAGGGTCCCTTATCGGAACACCTGGACCCTACTAGGCCCATACATGCCTCCTTTCATAAATTAAAACAGGCTCTCCTAAAAGCTCCAGCTCTTACCCTTCCTGATCCAACCCAACCTTTCAACCTATACACTACTTGTCAGGGCCACAATGCTATAGGTGTACTAGGACACAAAAAAGGACCTTCTTTTCAAGCAGTAGCTTACTTATCAAAACAGCTAGATCACACAGTAAAAGGATGGGCTCCTTGTCTCCGAGCTCTTGCAGCTGCAGCCCTCTTGACACAGGAAGCTAAAAAGTTTACATTAGGGCGATCTATTACAGTACACTCACCTCATCACCTACATGAGCTTATCTCACATAAGGTGCTCCCTGCCCTAATGACCCCTTCTCGCCTTGAACAGGTACACTTAGCTCTCTCTCAAGACCCTTGCATCTCTATTGCAACTAGTGGTCCTCTTAATATAGCCACCTTACTTCCCACCTCAGAGGGCCATCCTCACCATGACTGTATAGAGTTTTTACAGATGACTCCCACTTCTTTCCCTCACATCAGTAGCACACCTCTCTCCTTGGCCTTTGACACATGGTTCATAGATGGCAGTTCAACAAACACAGACAACCAAAAAAAAGGCGGGATACGCAATAGTTAACCAGTCAAAAGTTATAGAGGCAAATGCACTGCCACCTGGGACCTCTTCCCAGAGCGCAGAACTTATTGCCCTTACAAGGGCTCTTACACTAGAAAAGGCAAGATTATAAATATTTACACTGACTCAAAGTATACATTTAGCATTTTACACTCTCAGGCCTCTATCTGGCAAGAACGGGGTTTTATTACCACTCAAGGAACTCCCATCATTAATGCTCCCCTTATCCTTAAACTTCTAGAGGCAGCCCAACTTCCAAAGCAGGCAGCAGTTATTCATTGTAGAGGACACCAAAACTCTACAGATCCTATTTCTCAAGGCAATGCCTTTGCAGATTCACAAGCCAAGCTAGCTCCACAAAGGCCCTGCCCTTCTCATCTTCTCCCGTTAGTCCCAAACAGTCTACCTCAGCCTACTTACTCACCAGAGCAGTTACAGCTACTTCATAAACCAGGTTACACACAAAACACTCAGGGATGGATTTTTCAGGGATCTAAACTTGTTCTCCCACATCAACAGGCCTTAGACATCATTGCTGACCTGCACAACTGTTTTCATATAGGATCACAGGCCCTATACAAACTCTTAGCCCCAATAGTCACACACCCTTCTCTAAAAGCTATCATTCTTAAGACTACTCACATCTGTGATCTCTGTGCCAGGACCTCTCCTCAGGGACATATGGCACCCCTTCCTTTCCTACCCATCAGTTTCGAGGACACACCCCTGGTCAGGACTGGCAGATAGATTTCACACACATGCCCCGCCACAGACTCTCAAATATCTTCTCACTTTTGTTTGTACTTTTTCAGGATGGATAGAAGCCTTTCCCACAACCAGGGAAACTGCTGATGTAGTTACCAAAGTCATATTACAAGAAATCATTCCAAGGTTTGGTCTACCTCAGAGTATTCAGTCAGATAATGGTCCCGCCTTTATTTCTCAGATTACTCAGCAGGTATCCTCAAGCTTACACATCACCTGGCACCTACACATCCCATACCATTCACAATCCTCAGGAAAAGTAGAAAAGGAAAATGGCCTCATAAAGACACACCTTACAAAACTCACTTTAGAACTACACCAACTTTGGCCTCAACTTTTGCCCTTAGCCTTAGCCAAGCTCAGGGCACTCCCCCGGGCTCCTACCTTCTTAAGTCCTTTTGAACTTATGTATGGCAGGCCATTCTTACTCCACAATCTTCCTACTCCCCAAAATCTCCCTCCCCTTGCTGACTATGTCCCAGTTCTCTCCTTCCTCTGACACCTGTTGCGACAACATGCTGATCTCTGCCTTCCACAGCCCTCTGGAGAGGCCAAACCAGATCCTCCCATATCCCCAGGAGATCTAATTTATCTCAAATGTTCTAAATCCACAGGACTACAACCAAGGTGGAGTGGCCCCCATCTGGTCTACTTGGCTACCCCTACAGTGGTCAAAGTTGCTGGACTCCCATCCTGGCTTCACATCACTCAGGCTAAGAGGTGCCCTCCCAGCCCTAAATCTGATCATTCTGAGTGGTCATCTCATCTTCTGTCACCCACCCATCTCCGTTTCACAAAGGCCTCACAGCCACAGTTAACAGGCTAAGTCATGCTTTGTTATCCACTTTGGTTCCTAATTTCTTACATTCTATTAATGATCATTTTTACAGCAGGACTCTTGACAGTCTTTCCTAAAGACGCCCACATCATGCGTAAGATAACCTTCATAATGTTCTATATGATAACAGTTGCAGTTCTTTCTACCCTCAGCTGTCTGGTTAAACGTGACATCCCTGAAAGCCTAAGCCCTTACCTTCCCTATACTGCTACAGCCACCGCCTTCCCTGCTCCCCCTATTCTTTCCAGTTCAACTCCTGGACCAGAGACAAGTTTTATACACCTACCCTCTTAACTTTTATGCTTTCAGATGGGGGAGTAATCACCTCTCATAACTCCACTCCTCCTAACCCCATGTTTAATTTTCAGAATTCTGCCTTACCATGGAAATGTTTCTACCTCAACATGGTCCTGATAGAATGATATGTCTAAATCAAAGGCACCTTTCCCTCTACCTCACCTGGGTCCTTAAATATGACAGTGCCATGTCTCCTCATAACATCTTGTCTCTTTGTTTTTCCAGTCTAACATACGTGCATTCACCAGTGAAGTTGTCCTGGCTAAAACACCTGGCACCAGCGTCTACCTGGGCATCAACCTTCATCCCGTCGACTCCCCTAGGCTCCAGTACAGCGCCCTCTGCCAGCAGGAAGTAGTTAAAGAGAGAAATCTTCACCCCTTTTCATAATAATAATCATAAGACGGGATATGAAAGGGTTTTGACCCAGACAGGACACTGTAGCCAGGAAAGCCACAACCGGAAGCAGGAAGCCCCATCTACCCTGCCCCTAGGAAGTTACCTGTGACGCCATCTTCCCGCCCCTGGAAATTTACATATGGCACCAAACCTAGGACCAATGGGCTACCTGTGCATCCCTAATGCCCGCCTTAGGTTCCACCCCAAACCGAGGCTATTTACATGCCCCCACGCCACATGTCTGCCGGAGAGATCGCCGGACGCCAGCGGTGGGGCTGCTGGTCATCTCTCTCCATGTTCTCAGAATAAAGGCCGCTTTTTATTTTATATTTCTCATCTTTTGTTAATATTTTTCATCTTTTGGAAATAATCCTAGCAGTGCTTACCTAGCAGAAGCAGAGCTGCAAGAACAAAACCTAAAAACTGGGTGGGGGCATGGTGCTCCTGGGTAGCAGAGACTATCAGCCCTTTTTTTAGTAGCCTCCTTGTCCCCCAAAAAAGAAAGGATACCATAAGTTCTGTAATATGTTTGTGGGCAGGCAGATTATTTTAGTGGGGGAGTGTTTGGAGACCACTAAGAAGCGGCTCTGAGCAGCATTTAAATTTTACTAATTGGCTTTCTATGTTTATCTGTAAGTCTGTCCTAGGCCTCGGCCCCTTTCCTGGTGACGGGAACTGATTCATAGTAAGGGAACCTCTGTGAATTATTGGTCCTGGCTGAGGCCTGTAGTCGCCTGTGCGGCCAGAGATACCTCAAAGGGCAAGATAAGGCCACAGCTGTGGACACTTGGCTCCAACCCCAATTAACTAGGTAGAGACTGCAGCTGCAAAGATTACTCCTACAGTCTCACTTCTACCATGTCTTCATGATAAGACAGTGCTACTGAACTGACTTGATTCATGACAGAGACGTCCTTGAAGTGACTCCCAAGGTCCCGCTCATTGCCTACACTTTCCTCAGTTTCTCTGCCCTTTGTTCTTGGTCCTAATGTAAGTGGACTGATCCAAAGAATCCTTTGTCTTTACCCTCAAAGCCTCAAGCTTAATTAAAGGGTTTTGACCCTCCTGGAGCTCTAAAAATAATACAATTTGACTCTTTTTATTTAACCTCCACCATACACTCGTTTGGGAGATTGGGGATCTAGGACTCAACCTGATAGGGGAGCTGCAGTCACCCCAAGATTGCAATTCTGCAACCAGAAGTCAGGCGTTCTTTAGTGCCTGACCTGGATGGATTCTGCAGCTCTCAGAAACCTGCTCCATCTTTCTCTTCCTGCTGGAAGCAGATTAACCTTCTCTTCCTTCTCCCAGCCTTAGTCTCTGCTACATGAGAGTCACATTATCTGCAAACATGGTTCTTCCTGGGTGTGGTAGTGCGTGCCTATAGCCTCAGCACTCAGGAGGCTGAGGCAGGAGGACTGCCTTGAGTTTGAGGTCAGTCTGGGCTACACAGTTAGTTCAAGGCCAGCCTGAAGTACACAAGTTTCTGTCTAAAACATGCACGCACGCGTGCACACACACACACCATTATTCTTCATTTTTCCTTTCAAATCAGTGTTCTTTGGGATGCAAGTAATTAAATCCCAACTGAAAGAGTTTTGCCCTAGAATAAATTACAGGACATTATGGCGGTGGTCTAACATGGAGGAAGGTCAAATCATGAATGCTTACCCTGAGGGCCACTTCCTCTTCTTCCCCCATTACAACTTCCTCCTTCCTTACCTGTACACATGAAGAAAACTCCAATCAGCTCCTCGCACATCATAAATGCCCACCCTAAGTGCCACATCTGGTCAAAGGTCACATATACCCCCACCCCTCTAGGTGTGGTCAAAGAAGATAGGCCAGTCGCCATGGGTTGTGTGTACTCCTTTCAACGTCCTCATAAACGGGTTCTTTTTTTACTTTTTGCTTCTCTATCGTGCCAGAAAACTCTAACATTCTGGTGCCTGGTGACTCAGACTGTAGAGTGCATGGCTCCTGGGATTAACTCTAGTCTGAGCTCCACTGCCTGCAAACCACTTTTCCTTCCTCGTGGGGCCGCTAGCCTGCGTCCAACACTGAGTCACCTCATTTGTCACAAGTGCCCGAGGTTTTCTGTCTCATCTTCCTAGCCATAAAAAATTTGTGAGCTCTAGCTGGTTGTGGTGGCTCGTGCCTGTAATCCCAGCACTCGGGAGGCTGAGGTGGGAGGACCGTTATGAGTTCGAGACCAGCCAGAGCTACAAACTGAGCTGAAGGCCAGCCTGAACTGCATAGGGAGACCCTGTCTCAAAAAAGACAAAAAAAATTGTGAGCTCCCATTAGAAAACCTATCTGTTACCATCCCTGGACACAGAGAGCAGTGCTGCTGTTCCCAGTACAAGACAGCTGGAGGCAGAACGGTTACCCTTGTGTCCTCTGGGACCCCACCCTGCCCTGTTGGTGATGGCTGATAAGAATGGATGTTGGGACCTTCCTTGTCACACTTTCCAAACACGTGATGATCTCTTTTGGTAAGTGTAACCCAGGATAGAGCGAAAGCCCTTACGTCCCGAGGCAAAGTTGGTCACTTGGCTCACCTCTAACTCAGGCACTATGGGGAACACCATTTCTGTCCCCCAAAAAACACATCTCTGGGGCACCTGATTCATAACCTTGGTGCTCTTGGCCTCTAGAAGGCTCTAAACCCAAAAAGCTGGTCTTTTATTCATGCTTTTGTGACAGTGGCAGAAACCCTTCATCTTCAGGCCTTTTTCACTTTAAGGACTGTCTTTCTCTCACTGTCTTCTGAGATGGCCCGAGTACTGCCGGCTGGCTCTGCTCCTCCAGGATCTCCCTCCTCCCCCACAGGACCCCTTAGGTGAGGCGGCTCCTGTCTTTACTGCTCCTCCCACATCTCCCAAGACCAAACCCCTCAACTTGAGCCATTTAACCCATCAGACGGCCCCACTTCCTCTAGCCCCCGCTACTCCTGTGTCGCCTCTCCCCACTGGCTCACCGTACTTGGTCTCACATATTTCAGCCGCCTAGCAGACAGCACGGTGCTCAACCACCATCTTGCTGTCCCGTGCCCCGTGGTCCCCAGCAGCCATCTTGCTGCAGCTCACATGGAGGACAGTGCCATCTTGCAGTCCTTCAGCATGTGTTCAGCTGTGGTGATCTTACGGGTCTCGTGGTAACCAGTCACAATCTTGTGCTTCCCTGTCACGGTAACGAGCGGCCATTTTATGGTCAATCACCCTGTAACTGCCCACAGATGCCTCCTGGGCAGTTGGCTGCTCGGTGGCCATCTACACCTCCCACTCCACAGCCTTCTCAGCCTCAATCCCTATTCCCCCTTCGGGAACAGGCTGTCCTGAGGGAACAGTTCATATTCACGTTCCTTTTTCCCTTGCAGAACTATCTCAGATTAACCATAAATTAGGTTGACCACAAAGTTATATTAGGAAATTTAAATTTATAACTGTTATGTACCCACAAAATTATGTTGAACTACAAAATTATATTAGAAAATTTAAATTTACAACTGTGATGATTTACATTTCAAGGCTGTTTATGTGATTCTGAACACCACCCTCAGCTCACAAGAGTGGGCTCAGCTATGACAAGCAGCTTGAGAGGAAGTGGATCATAGCACATAGCACATAGCACATAAAGCACATCCTACTAAAAATGACCCTGGATCTGCTATTCTTATTTCAAGAGATCTCCATTAATTGACTTACAAAAAGGTTTGCACTAGTCTATTTATTATAGTTTAATTGGCCAAATATATTTGAGTGCACTCTGATTTTGTAAGATGTCTGTCAGTCTGTCTGCGTATCTGTTGTCTGTCTGTCCAGTCTGTTTATACTACACAGGTCACCCATCCATGTTTGTCCATTTGTCTGCTCTGTAAACTGCTGTTCCTTTTTATTTGAGTTCAACAATCTTTTCTCCTTTCCTTTTTCTTCTGCATTTTCAGATCATTTAGTCAAGGTTTATATGGATTATAGATTTAAGAAGTATACTTCCCAGTTGGGCAAAATGATGCTAATACCAGTTAAACAAAATCCTTGGAGGTGAGGAGAGCTTAGACAAGACTTGTACTGATGGGTAAGAAGGTGGCTGCCTGGAACTCTAACCAGTTCTTATTCATTAATCAGAGGCCCCAATAATCCCCATAACCTAACCGGAGACGTCCCGGCTAAAGTTCACATGGCTAAGACAATTCATTGTTGCTGATCTGATGGTATTCATGCCTTCAAATGTAAAATTGGTTAATTTATGATGATAAAAATTTTATTTCAGATCCAAACATCTGCCTTTTTCTTGTGCACCAGCCAAGAGATTCAAGTCAAACCAACATGAGATCACCAGTCAAATGATAATTTTTAAACAAAAATTTATGTAATGTATGTTACATATGTGCCACTATACTTAAGAGATGCTTATATATTGAGCAGTCCAAACAATTCATAAATTTCTTTAGTGACATCCTATTAAAGGACACGTGTTACAAAATGTCATCTCAAAAGTTAAATACCCATGGTTAACAGAAAATAGCAGTTCCATTTAATGTTCTATGTTAGGCTTTCTGCCTCTACTACACTGTACTGTTATCAATCTTTTCTTCTGGATGTTCAACAATGAACACTTAGACATAGTTATAGATTCCTTTTAGATGCTTTTTACTGTGATCCACCAGACCTTTTCCAGAAAAAGGTTATATGATTCATTTGAGGCTAAAAATAACCATACTCAACCTGTCATAAATGACATCACAGCTGATCTTTCTCCTAAATAAAAAAGGGGAAATTAATAAAACAGGCCATCCTCCAAAATCAGATGGCATTAGACATTCTAACAGCACAGGAGGTACTATGCAACTGTAAAAATTAATGACAAGTGAATGACCTGTCAGTTTCTAAAATCCCTGGACCTCATCCTTAGCCTCCTTATGGGAAATGATTACTAAAAGTATACTCATAATTATCCTGTTGATTCTATTATTTGGCCCCTACATACTTAATTGATTCTTTGCCTTTGTCTCCTCTACACTTAAAGCTGTTCCCCTACCCAAAATAAAAATGCCTACTATCTACTGAGGGTCACTAGTTAAAAACTCTGCAGAGTATCCCTGCCATTCAACAACTTTCCCCCCCTTCAGCCTAAAAAAAACCACATTGGTCATCAGCCATTCCCCTCATTGCAGTTCAGGTTACTTCTTCAGAGGAAAAATGTTACAGGCAGCTGAGTCAGTTAAAAACATTGCAGGCAGTCAGACAGCAGCCAGCACAGAGGGAGGACCAACTACCTTGTGACCTTGGAGGAAACAGATACCTCCTTCTGTGGGCTAGATCCCAGGCAAAAGGCTAAATTTGTCCTTCACACCCCACAGGGAGACCTTCTTAATATGGTTTTTCATGTTTTCAACAACAGAGATAAAACTTAAAAGGAGGAAAAATAGCAATCTGATCATTTAGCAGTGGCACTTGGAGCTCTAAGACAGATAAACCAAAGCAAATCAGAGCTGCCAGAGCCCCTCCTGCACCATGCTTCAAGTGTGACAAGGAAGGACACTGGGTAAGAGAATGTCCCCTCTGCAATCTCAAGAGCCATTGGAAGAGAACTAACTGTTTAGTTCTCTCTACCCTCAACTCTTTGGTCTAATGTGACATTCCTGAAGGCCTAGGCTCTTACCTTCCCTATAGTGACACAGCCACGGCCTTCCCCACCCACCACCCCTGTTCTTCCCAGCTCAACTCCTGCACCAGTGACAAGCCCTACCTACCTACACTCTTAAGTTTTACCCTTTTAGATGGAGGAATAATCACCTCTCATAACTTCACTCCTCCTAATCCCACACTTATTTTTCAGAATTCTACCTCACCGTGATAATGATTCTACCTCACCGCGGTCCTGATCAAATGACACATCTAAATCAAAGGCACCTTTCCTCCTACCTCACCTGGGTCCTTAAATATGATAGTGGCCTGCTTACTCATAACACCTTGACTCTTTGTTTTTCCAGTCTACTGTGCAGACATTCACCAATGATAAAGTTGTCCTGGCTGAAACACCTGGCACCAGCTTCTACAGGGGCATCAACCATCATCCCATCAACCTTCCTGAACCCTAATACGGTGCCTGCTTTCAGCAGCAAGTAGTAAGAGAGAGACTTGGCCCTTTTCCTAACAATGCAAAGATGGGAATGAAAGGTTCTTTGTCTTAGTGGAAATTATGGCAGTGGTCTAATGTGGCGGAAGGCCAAAGCGGGACCCCTTCCTGCTTCTTCCTCAGCCTTAATTGCACCTCCCTTCCTGTTTGCCCGCACAGAAAATTCCAATCAGCTCCTCACATGTCATCAGTGCCCACCCTAAGTGCCACCCCGTCAGAGGTTATATGTAATCCCATGGCCCACATTCCAGCAGAGAAAGCCAGGCCGCCGGTGGTCCTGGACTCCTCTCCGTGTCTTTGGAATAAAGGCTATTTTTACTTTGTATTCTCTTTTATCATGCCTAAAATTCTTTCACTCCTTCTTCTCCATTACAACTTCTTCCTTCCTTTCCCTGTGCACATGAAGAAAATTCCAATCAGCTCTTCACCCACATATACCCCACACCTCTATGTGTGAAGCTCAGCCACCATGGGTTGCGTGCTCTTTTCCATGTCCTCAATAAATGGCTTCTTTGTTTTTTTAATCTCAATAAAGGTAAGTGGTTCTTTTTTACTTTTCGCTTCTCTACTGCACCAGAAAACCCTAACACCAGCTCAGACTGGCTCAGGTGTTTAAATGGTACCCTCAGAAATCTCTCCAGCGACTCCTGTGCCTCCACATTTTGGGCTCGTGGCTGGGCAGTCTCTCCTAGTAGAAAGATGAGTCCCAGCAGCTCCACACTAACATCCCTCAAGTGTAACAAATCCAAAAGAATGAAAATGTGTCATTCTCCAGAATCCCAGGAAAAGTCCTAAGATAGCTCTTCTGTTACCCTCAACTCTCAAGCCATTACTGTGGTAGATTTCAGATGGTTTGACGGGCTGGGTTTGGGTCACATGTCCAGCCCTCACCCACTTACTGTAGTGGTGGAATGAAGTGTTCTGATTGGCCAGTCTTTGCCCCTCACCTCCCTGAATCCCAGAGGATAGGTGTTTCTCCAAGGCGGCTCAGGGTAATGTTACCTAGATCAAAGAGCTATATGTGGATAAACAGGAACCAAAGTCCTCCTGCATATAACTTTTTTTTTTTTTTTTTTGTCTTTTTGAGACAGGGTTTCACTGTGTGGTTCAGGCTGGCCTTGAGCTCACTTTGTAATCCAGGCTGATCAGGAACTCAAAAGGACCCCCCTGCCTCAGCACGTTGTCAACTGTACTTACGAACAGTCCATGGGATCTTGGTCCAGCTGATCAGGATGAGGCCCTCCGACCATAAAATGCAATTTGGAATATGCTAATAAATAACCAAGTCATCTGAAAACGGCTGCCATAAAAGCTCATGAGCGAAGCTTTGCCCTCGGGTAGAACCTGATCCTCTCTGTGGAAGACAGAAGACCACACAGACCCCTAGTTGAAATGCTACCTCTCCCATTTCATGAACTCACTCATTATTCATGTCTTTACTTCAAAAGAAAAAAAAAAAAAGCAAAAGCCGCGCGTGGTGGCTCACACCTGTAATCCCAGCACTCAGGAGGCTGAGACAGGAGGATCGTTGTGCGTTCAAGACCAGCATAGGCTACAAAGTGAGCCCAAGGCTAGTCTGAACTGCATAGTGAGACCCTGTCTCAAAAAACAAAACAAAACAAAAAAGCAAATATTGAGCATCTATGGTATGCACAGCTGTGAACCATACAAAATGCCTACCCTCCTGGGTCAGGGAGGTATGAGTAGGGAGAGAGAGACAGAAAATAAAGAAACAGACAAAGAAATAAGTAATTTCAGATAGTGGTGATAACTGATGCAAAGAAGATAAAACCAGTGCATGTTGCTAGCAGGGGGCTGGCTTTGGGAAGACCTCTTAGAAGTGGTGCTATCTGCTTTGGCGCTTTAAAAATTAGGATATTTTTCTCTTTTAGAGAGTCACTGCTCCTCCAGCTTCCTCATGGTGAGGATGTAA